TCGACAATACCATTACAATACGTATTTCGAAATTACCAGTGAGACTTATAGTTTATTAACAGGTATTATCATTCTCGTTTGCAAGTCCATTTATTTGTCGAAATTTGTTAAAGGAATCAGCACTAATGGTATCACAAATGTATTTTTTTTCATTACATATCTATTAAAGCTATATAATTGCATTAATTCACTCCATATATCCTTTAAATAAATCCCCCTGTTACACTATTCATCTCACTGAAAGGTAGGAGGACACAGGGGGTAACAATAATAAATCTGTAGGAGCCGCTCAAAAGTAACAAAAATTAAGGCTGCCCACTTCAATATTTATATTGTACAGTTACATATTGTTTGTTCTCATCTTGGTTTTCTTGGCCACATTAAAACTGTTGGGTGTACTTTAACCAAGTGGTAGGCTAACACACACAATGCATTTCACACAGTGCAGCTTGAGCAAAGAACTTAACGCAATAATTGATATTACGACGAGTGAATGTCCACTATGGGAGGGACACGGGGTGGCCGATCAGGTTGCAAGGGGGGTGCCCCCCCTGTGCCACTATAGAAGCCCCGCCTCTGGGTTTTTTTATTATAATTTCAACTGTAAAATCAATTTTCTAACTGGGCCCCGCACTTCCAAGCACCGGCCATGTGTAAACCCCACACACCACCGTCTGACCGACGGTGGCAAGTTCTTGCTGTGTAAGTTCCTAATTTTGTTACCTCCCAAGCTATCCTGACCACTGCTAGCTCCTGCTCTGATAGTGTTTCAACTGCGAAAAGCACCGCCTTATCAGACCACTCGTGCCTCTCGCCTGAGTAACACCGCACGTAGTACTTCTCGTTTGAGCAATTTGACACAAGGACTTGTTCTATGTTTTCGCCGTAATTTCGTGTATGGTTACTTGAAGAAGGTAAGTGTAGATTCTGTTTCAAATTAGCCATTACTTGTTTATTTGTTTTGGGTAATAAAACATGAATTTTGTGATAATCAAATCTAAAATTTCTTGTATAATTTTCGTCGACTTTATAGCTAGCACAGTCAGTCTCACGCACACAAACACACACGTACGTCCACGCCCGTCCCCCACCTACCTCTATGTTTACTCATATATAGCATCATATGGGCGGCTGGTTCATGAAATGCTTGTAATGTTTGCAAATAAAGCAGGTTAGTTAAAATTGATTTTGTGTTTTGTGTTATATATTATTTTATAACCATTTATTATATATTTCGTATAATACCAATAATGTACTATGTTTAATCCACTTTTATTAACCAAAATTATCAAACCGAGTATCTTTAAGGTTATATTTTTATTGATCATTCTTACCTGGTTTCATTAACCAAGGTCCCAATACCTGAAGACAGAATGCCAAGTAATTACAAGGAAATGGGAGTTTAGGCATGTTAAGCCATAATAGGTTGTTTTGATATTAATATTTGTTCTTTTGTAGGGCAGTTCTTACTTGTTGCACATGAAATTTCAACTGAATATAGTTTCTTGGATCACAAGTAAATGTGATTATAAAATTTGCATACAGGATAGCTCTTCTGTATTTATGATGTCAGTAAGAAGGTATTTTTTCTGATTATTTACTAAAGGATATATGCCTTTCACTTATAACATGCAGGATAAACCAAAGCTACCCATTTGTTTTTTGTTTTTTTCAAATATTAAAATGTTAATATTTGTGTGCACAAGATATGATACTTTTGAACTTGATTCAAAATATTTACAACTTTTTATAAGCATTAATACTTATACTGGAATACTGAATACACATCTAATTTTCTCATTATTATTTGTAAATATTTCCATCTTCTATAATGTTTTGCAAGAGGCCTTTATCTTGAAGGCACACACAATTATCACCAAAGTTTTACATGTCATTTAAAATATTTGGTAGTGTTCTGGTAATTTGTGTTATATTTTTTCTATTTGCTTTTGAAACCAACCTTCATTTATAATTCAATAAGAGACTTGGATTGGTCCTAGTTGAAAGATTTCCTATACAAGAAAAATTCATCACAACAGTTTCATTCCTGCAGGATGTTGGTAATTAATGAGGGCCTATTTGCTAATTCTTTAAATATTTCTTGCAAATTTAGCATAAACAAATTTTTAGAGACTGACTCCATACAGCTGCAAAGTTCACACATAAGTAGACAAATACAAGTTGAAAGAACAAAAAAAAGATAATTTATGACAAAAAGTAGCCTTTATTCACCTGGCAAAACAACCGTCCTTAAGAATAGCATACATCTTACAGTATGTATAGGGTTGAAAATGAAATACCATTTTGGTGTGCTTCACCTTTACTATCAAGAGTACCATTATCATTATGCCTGCTATACAGAGGATCGGACAAGTCTACCACAGCAGCAAGGCCCAAATTCTTTATTGTGGTACAAAGTTTGTTAACCTGCTGCACCCTTGGCAAGGTTAGAGCCATCTTAATATAAGACAATGTTGGCCTGAGAATGGGAGATGCTCCGTAAGCAGGTATGAGCCCACCCGACACGTTTCTGTGGGCACCAGCAACCTACGCACCTGCTACCAACACTCGTCCACTAAAAACACATTTGCCTCAAACAGTTGTTCATACATTTCTATATGTTACCAGTGATGCAAATATGGAAAATAAAATAATATAACATGGACCAGAGTGTGGGCAGAGGCAGGAGGAGGTGCCACAGCTGCATTACTTGCCATCGATAACACTATTGGCTGGTGGAACAGAGTCACAAAGGGGGGAGACATAAATGAACCCTACACTTATGTGACAATGAAAGATAATCTACTAAACAAAGGTGCATATCTAAAATGGAGTAAAAATAAATTATATTCATAATCACTGATGCATATGCATGACATCTTACAGATGTGGCTAAATATACAGAAAACACAGAGCCTAGTAGCCTCAATAGGGAGAGGGGACAAGAAGCCTATCATCTTCTGGATCCACAGGGTTACGGGTTTCATCAATGAAGGAGGAGCAAGGAAAGGGAAGGGTCAGGGGAGGGGAGGGGTGGGGGTTGTACTTGGTATACAGCCAGCTGGACAGGGTTCTACCGACTTTTAGGAGGGCCTGCATTCAGTATATAATTTCAATGGTGGACAAAATATTGCATTCAGGCTACAAGGCTAATCATATGTTATAGAACATCAGCCCTGCTATTTGGTTGTTTCCAAAGTTGGGACATCAGAACACTGCAGTTAAGATTATAAGATGAAGCAGAAGACTGTAAACTCTAACAAAAGGATGGTAATATTGTGATAATATATGATTAAATCAATATATTGCCTTCTACATACAGAAAAAATGAATTTCAATATTGTTAGAAAGAAATGAATGGATTAATAATGTAAACTATCTTTGAATAACATAAATGTTTTCTAGTGATGTAAGTTGCAGTTTTGAGTTCCAACATGCAAGAAACAAATTCCTCCATCAGTAGTCATTAGAAGCCGACTTTTGAAAAATCAGGGCTGATGGAAAACCAACTTCACAGTCGTGCAATATTTACATAATCATTAAAATGAATGTATGGAAAAGAGCCATCCCATTGTGCACGACAACACAACACCACAGGTCATCTGGGCATATGGTCCTTGGTACTAACATTATCCGAAGTTCTGCAGCAGTGCTGGTGGAATAGGTTTGTTGTCATCTTTCTCATGCAGGTAATTCTTTTAGATCTGCTGCTTCTTACAAATATTTGTGGTTTGAGCAGTTAAATCATCATAAGAGCAAATGATTCCTCCAAATGTCCCCTCTCTGCAATATGTACTATTATGGACATTGAGAGGATAGCAACCATCTGTTTTTATATACACTCACAGCAGAACCACTGGACACATCATTATCAATCACCAACATAATTATTATCATCACCATATTCATTATCATAATCATACTAAGACACTTTCACAGAGATTACTGGTTCCTCCAAGCAGTCTCTAGGTATTATCAGAGCTGATAGAACCAAACTAAAAATCCTTTCTTTTATTATCAAGAGTCAAAAGCACTTCTGGTCAAAAATAGGGTTGATAACCCCAAGGCGAACCCTGGTGTGTGTACACTGAGCCCCCTCAACCTTCACTTCACTTAACTATTTATGTGCTGTGGTGACACTCACTACTTTGGAGACAGAATGGAGTGAGCTGATCTGGAACCTTGCTTAACAGCTGCCATTCTATGGAGTCATCTTTGGTTTTTGCCCTGATACTGAATCACCATCATAAAGTGCATATACACAAATAGCCAAGTGAAGGCCAAGGTTGCCACTCTCTGATAGTGTAAAGTCTTTTATGCTCAAGCTGGCAAGTCTAACGATTAGACTGAGAGACTTTTTACCAGAAAGTGGTCAGAGGGAGCAGGTTCAGCTTGTGTTCATGAGTTGAGCCATGGGTGTTTGAGGCACTCTCCAGCAGTAGCGCGTTCTGATGGTTCAAAAGCCAACATTGGATTCAGGAAGTCGCTAAAAGCTCGGGCTTCATCCTCTGGCCATTCGTATTTCTCTGTCAGCACCTCAAACATGCCCCAGGGACGGAGCTTTGTGATATGCCGCAAGTCACCTGGAGTGGAGAGAGAGAAATTAATCAAAGTACAAATTTTCCCAATAGTGGTCCCAAAAGCTAAAGTACTGCTGCACTTTTGAAACAACACACAATTTTCAATAAGATATTACAAAAACATATCCTGAGATGAATCATACTTAAAACAATCCTATATCCAAATACTAGTCCATACTTGCACCAGAGTATCCCAACCACCTTTCCTTACCTTTCTTGTCGAAAAATTCCTTTGAGTATTTTCCAGAATGGGCTATATGACGGGGAATTTTACCAAGAAGCTCAATGATGTGTGCTAGGTGGTCCTCATCACGAGTATAATCAGCTCCACTGTGTGGCTCAAACAGATAATCTCCAGTCGCCAACTCAAATGCCTTAGGGGGGGGGGAGGGGGAGAAAAAAATGTTTCAGCTTTGGATTAAAATCTAGTAAAATTTACTGTATTTCAATGCATTTCTATTACAAATTAGGGAACTTAATAACTTGCCTATGCTAATAGATCTAGGTACCTGTATTATCATAACTCCCTAAAATATCATTTTGAATTATAAATTGCATTATTCACATTGAAATATGAAGAAAAAGATATCTAATCCCAAGTATTTCAATCATAATAAAAATACAGACAACTTAACAAAGCAAATGTACGGTGTCATAAAATATTTTGCAAATCATATGAAATACTAATGTGAACATAACAAAAGACTCACCATGCAGGCAGTACTCCACATATCAGCAGGACAACCATAACCAGCTCCGAGCAGGACTTCCAGGCACCTGTACTGTCGGGTCTGGATATCTTCAGTGAAATGATGATCCACCCAGCAAGCATTTCCTAAATCAGCCAGCTTGACCTTCATATCACACACTTCATGAACTGGGTCTGGCGTGCGGTCAATGGCTTTGTGGTCCGGGCATGAGGCTACTCTGCGCATTCCGACTGCACTGCCACTGTTACTGCCTCCACTTGTGTTACTGGAATTGGCTCCTCCATCCTCACCTTCTGTGTATTAAAAGAACACTATTAGTATTGCCATGTGGGAAAGGAAAAGTTTCCTATATTAGACAACTATTAACATTATTTTCTTAATTTTGTTATCATGATGCAGAATAACTCTGTAGTCAAAAGCTTGTATGTATATGACAAACATACTTTTATCTGATTTTTCTTTTTTTTTAAATCTATCACCTTGATTAAAATCTACCTTCCCATAAAACATATGTGGTTAAAAAAGTCCTACATGCATATCAGAAAAGAGAGAATTAACTCTACATGTAATAAGTGTATGTAAATCTTATAAAGCAAACTAAATCCATTTTCCATGGTAACCAATATAAACAAGGTTTTACTAGATTGTCCTTCTTTAGATTGATTAAATAATTATGATAATTGCTTTCAAGAAGAACAGGATAATTCTATTTATTACCCTCACTATGTACAAAAAGGCATATATAATAAATATTTTGTATAGAATGGCAAAAATACTGTTAAATAATATAAAGAAGAAAATAATCATAAAATTATCATTAAGCACCTTCATCCTCGGGGGGAAGCCTCATGTCTGGGGTTATCTCAGACTCTGAGCGACCTAGTGTTGGGCGAGGACTGTCGTGGCCGTTCATGAGAGGTCTAGTGAGAGCCCCACTGCCCCACCTGGTCGCACATCGCCCTCACACATCTCAGCTAGACTCTTGCGGTGTTCTGAAGTTTAATCACAACACTTGTTAATCATGCATGAATTACTACAAGACAACCTTGACTGAGAGAAATGGTCCACCTTATCAGTCAGCCAAGAGTTCTGTTAGTCACAGATTAATGCTAAATAAAGCTTACTTTGATTCAAACTTTTCAGGTACTGAATTCCTTTGACTTGAAAAGTTTTGTCATGCATAACAAATGCAAATGCAATGTTCATTTTGAAAGAACCAGTTTCCTTAAAATCATATATAATAGTTTCTTGAAGCAACAGATAGAAGACTCAAAGTTAATGAATAACCACATAGAAAGGGCAAAAATGCAAGACTTGAGCCTGTTTCCTCTAACCCCTCGGATCATGATGACTTGACCATCATGTTAAAATAAAATTTAGCAGAGGGGTAGTTGACAGGAATATGCTACCATGGAAAATTATGACTGAGGGCCAGGGAGACAGGAATATGCCATCATGATGTGAGGGGGGGATGTGAGGAATGACTTGCTCTTGGAGTGTGATTAGGCTCAGTGGACATTTTAGAAGGGGATCTTGCTTTATTTTCATCTTTAAACGAGCGTGAACCATCCATAAGCCATGACTGGAAAAGCTCCAGCTCCAGGGAGGACACCATTACCATGCTCAGAATCCTATTTCTGCCTATTGCCATCAGTGGCACAAGATGTATAACAGAAAATTGAATACTATGAAAATATTTAAAAATTATAAAAATAACAAATGTTACTTATCATTATCATTAATGTTTTGAGAATAGACTACTAGAGATGATAAGGAGTTTGTGCAAGAAAAACAATCTATCATCATCTTGATACAGCATATCAAATGACAAATATAGCCTTTGAAAAATGGAGAATAAAAGAACAAGGAGTCTTTACACTGCGCACAAGTGTTCATGTGGCCCGGGCTACAAGCCACACACGCAAGAGAGTTGCCACTCAAGTAAGCCTAATGCCCAGATTTTGGCATTTAAAACCTATCTTAGACATCAACTTAAACTGCCTCTTAGAAATCAGTCCTTTAACTGACTCCAATGGATCAATACAGACACATCTACACACACATGCAAAATATATACATACATGCAAACACACATACACATACACAATTAATATCCTTGTTAACCCATCCATCCGCGGTGTCACATATATGAGACACAAGGAAAAAAATAAACAGTTTCGGCCTGCCCGCCAGTGCGATGCTGTCTCGGA